CTTTTCATAACAAGAAAACAAATCTGACTGATATACAATATAAACAACAAAGGCAGAAAAAATTTTAAAAATATTATTTCAATTAGTTAAAATATTTTTGCTTGGCTTTTAAAGCCTATTGGCAAGAGCTCTTTAACACGAGTCTAATATTTTTCATCCTAGTAACACGACAAGATTTACATTGAAATCGGTGATCCCACGTTTGTAGGCTCCCTTTGTAAAATAAACATTTTGTGGCTATATAAATTGTAAGACGTATATGAAAAACCAGAATACGACTTTCATTGACCTCGCGTTTATTGACCTGCCCTGGTATATCTAATTCAAACGAGTTTACTTTCACGGCGAACCTACAGCCAAGTTCGATCGGTTTACTTTTGAAAAAGGATGTGCACACCTTGTTTCAACCATTGTCTTGGATCTCTAGCTGTGGCCCCGAAACAAGGCGATTTCATAAACTATCTGACATGACGACATGACAAAAGGACGGAGAAGAAATGAATTCGTTCCGTTATACAGAGGATCGCCCTTTCGACCTCAGCCGGTTTCTTGCTGTGAAAGTAGCACCTACCGCTTTCTCCGGCACGGTTTTTTAAAGGACGGATTATTGATCAACAATCGTGTCTAAATCCTGAACTCTGTTTCCTATAGGGAATTACACAGTAATTACCGATTACGACATACAGGAAGTTGACGTTTTTATTATTTAAAAAAAAAAAAACTTTTTAGACGGACTTATATAAATTAAGTATCCGTTCGGTAATATTTAACCTCCGGCGTGAAAGCGGAAAGAAAGGAAAAAGTACGGTTCACTGGTTCATTCTCAAACTATGCAAAATGGTGAATTTTAATTAATGAAATGAATAGAGTGAATTGACACTGAAATCAGACGCATCATTTTACTAGTTAGTTCGATCTTAGAATCACAATAAAATATTTTATGCAAAAGAAAATGAATGTTTCATCAAAACGAGTTAATAGTTCACTTAAATACCCGAGCCTATTGATTACAGGCTGTCAACGATTTACAATAAACAAAACATGATCAGTAATGACAACACTAGCGGAAATCCAGCACAATTAGTATATGGCAAATATTATTTATCCCTTGGAAACCGGAAAATGGGAAAATGTTCCTATCTTCTTTTTCTTTCTTTCACCCTCAAGCCCCTGTCAATTCTACTATTTTGACTATTTTTATGTTTATACTTCCCTATTTTACTATCTTTGCCACATATATATAATAGTAATTCTCCTTTAAAACACCTAAATTTAACAACTTTGAGTTTTTTCTATGTGGATAAAGAAAATGGTAACATGTTCAAAATTTTTATTTACTCTCATTTCTTGCCCATAGTTTTTAACAATTACAAATTTTCTTTAACACACATAAATGTAAAATATGTCACTTTTTATTCTTTGTTAAGAATAGGAAAATGAGAAAATATTTTAAATTTTTTAAATAATTTAAATTTTCCTGTTCTCTCACGCTCTTGCTCATGCCAGTCTACAAATTTGCCCATTTGTTTTCTCTTTTCTACTTTTCTGCTTTCTATTTAAACGGAGAAATATTTTTTTTCACTTGTATTAGATTAATTTGCAAAGAAAGAACTAAAAAGAGTTATTTGTATGATTTTTACTTACTAAATTTTATTTTCTACTGAATGTTTCGTCTAGGGTTTACAATCTTAAACGTATGGTTTTTGATAGGTTATCGTTAATTTTTCCAAGAATAAAGGGAAATACTTTGAACGAAAAAATCATTGAAAAACATTTTCCAACTAGATTATTCCCAAAGGTAAAAAGATTTAAAAATATTATACTTAAAATATATGAGAGATAAATAAGTAAAATATTTATAATATATTCAAATAATTAATTTCACCGTTGTCTTACCATTTAGCAATTCGAAATCTTCTTAAAACACTAAATATATCCCTTTTTTATTCTATGGAGATAAATAAAAATGCGAATAAGTATTAAATTTTCATTTTCTCCCAAAATCCTCCTCGTGTATTTGTGTAATTTTTTTATTTTAATACTTTCAATTTGAATGTAGGATGTTTGATTGTATCTGAATAACTTGTAAACATAGAATTTTAAATAGTTATTTCTAAAATTTTTACCTACTGGTGAAATTTCTGTTCTTTTTTCGAAAAGTTTCGTTTATATTACGCATAGTTTTTGATAGGATATCGTTCAATTTTCCAAATAAAAAAAGAAATGTCTCGTTAAAAAGGATCATCTAAAAAGATTTTCCGTTTAGATTATTCACAGAGACTAAATAAATTAGAATTATTTTCTTTAAAAACAAAAAGGATTTCTATTTTTAGCATTTATATATCTCCAAATATACGGATAACACGCATTTATGGAGTGTCTTACCATTTAACAAATTTTCTTTAAAACGCTCAAATGTAAAATATGCCATTTTTATGTCACGTGGATGAAGGACAATGAGAAAAATGTCAAAATTTTCCTTTTATTTCAAATTCTTGGCCATGTCGTTCAACACATTTGAAATTAATGTTTTCATCTTTACACTAACGGAACCTATTTTATTGAGAGTTTCGTCTCGGTTCTACAATCTTAGACTATCGTTTTGGATTTATCAAATATAAAAAATCTCGTTTAGATTATACTCAGAGACATATTTTAAAAATATTATTTTTAAATTGTTTTAAATATATACAATATCTTCAAATTTATAGGATAAACTAGTTTATTTAATTTCCTATTGTTTAACGATTACAAATTTTCTGAAAATACTTAAATTTAAAAATATATCATTCTTTTATTCTGTGTTAATGAGGGAAATTGAGAAAATTTTAGATGTTTCACATTAATGCCCATTCTCCAAATTTGACCGTTAGATTTTCACTTTTTTCTTTAATATGTTTTATTTGATCGTTAGAAGGTTGGTTTTTTAATCTGTATCCTACTATTTTGAAAAAGGAAAATTGCTATGAATTTAAAACGATTACATTTGAAAGGGGTTTAACTATGCAAAACATGTAAATATATACTAGTTTCTACCTATATAACATTGTAATATGAACTAATGCTTTATCACAAATTATTGAACAAGTCACTATGGACGGTTCGTTTCAGACATATACGAAGTTCAAAAATCTTTCTTCTCAAACAAGACGTAAAAGACTTTTATTAGCAATTCTACATTCCTCACAGACATGCAATACTTTGCAAGCCGGTTGGGTAGATTAGCAAGGTGAATGAGGGTAGTTTGTTTCAGACGAAACGATATGACATGCGTATCTTAAGGATCCTTACGGCCGCCGAAGAAAGAGCGACAGACAGGACGAGACAAAAATAGATAAAATTGTGAACGTCATCAATTACTGCCATTGTTATGATCTCTAATTAATTTTTTCTATATTATTTAACAGGCGTTTTCATTTGGCCCCCTTCTAAACTTTTACCAATTTGAAAAGAAATTTTATCTCTTTCTACACTACGACTTTTTCCAAGCTAGTGCACTATTCAGCATTTTAGAAGAATTTTCTAAACGACCTATACATGGACATATTTTAATTAATAAACAATATGAGATCTCCTACTTAAGCCTATGTGGTGGAGAAACTTGTTTAATCGTTTCAGATTATTTTGGTCTGCCAATCCTGGCTGTTTTGGTCCATAAGACTCGTTTCGGCTTTTCGCCAAATTTGCACAGTGGAGTTGTGTGCCCTCCTCTCCCTGCTTATACCCTTGAAACAAGATAGAAGGTGAAATGTACGGGGCGGACCGACACAGCAAGGATAAGCAGTCCAAAAATTTAAGTGTCTTCAAAGATGGGTTATGCATTCGTACCTCGACCTGTTTATAACCCTGACAGACAACTAATGACGTCAGTACGTCGAAAAACATCTAATACGCCAAAAACACTTACTGTAGAAAGACGAAAATCATCTAAAATGACCCAACTACAAATAATAAATACATAATTTATCAAATGATTATTTTTTCAGGTATTTTGCATTAAACTATTTTTTAGTATTTTTCTAAGAAATATTTAAGTGTATTGGTGTATTATAAATTAAAGCATCTATGCATGATAGATTTTTTTTTAATAAAAAAGTAAAATAATGTGTTTTAATATATATTTATATTCGAATTTTAATTACTCTTGTTGCAAAAATTCTCACAAAGTTGAAAATTTAATAAAGATTTTTAAGATCTTAATTTTAACAAGGATAAAAATAAAGATGTTTTGAGATATTTTTGATTAAACTAAAATTCAGCATTTTTAAGCAATATTTACGTGTATTGGTGTATTATAAATTAAAACTTCCGTACTTGATAATTTTTTCAAAATAATTATTAAATTTTTAATAATATAATAATTTGTTTAATGTATATTTATATTTCAATTTTAATTATTCTCATTGAAAAAAAAATGTTCACGTAGTTGAAAATTTAATAGCTTATTAAAACAAATAAGTTATGTTTACACAGTCATAGATTAGACACAGACACACATACACACACACACACACACACACACACACACACACACACACACACACAGAGAGAGAGAGAGAGAGAGAGAGAGTGAGAGAGAGAGAGAGAGAGTGAGTGAGAGAGAGAGAGAGAAATAGAAACTAAAACTAAAATATAGCCATATTTTGGTATGAAATCGAAGCAATATAATATTAAAATGAAACTTAACTAAATTACCAATAAGTTGAAATGATACATTAAAAAATAGAAAATCGATTTGTAAATCGAAAAATCCAGGTATATTTATTGTGTAATTATCTCAGGATTAGATAATCAAAAGTATTGTTTTTTTATTAAATCGAACATATTATAAGTTGACATATACTAAACTCTCATAGGATCGTGTGGAATGTGTCAAAGTGGCAGCTAGTAACGTGAAAACCATTGGAGGCAAGGGTTGAAAACCATCAGTGGGGATAAACGATAAAGAAGGGCTGATGTCGTGAATACGTAATTAGTAAGGGCGTGTCCCAAGGGCTTACCAATGGCAACGGTGGTCAGTCCTAGTAGAAGGTGGAACAGCATGTTACAGAGGGCATACACTTTTTGTAAAGGGCACACGCGGATAAGAAAACTGGGACAAATAAGACGAGGCTCGTTTGGTGCGATCAGGGCACCGGCCGCACAGCTACTGACTGCCTCCGACGCGGGTGGGTCCCTATCCGGGCCGCCATTTTCACCCCCTCTCTGGCCGCCACGGGGCTCATCATCATCAGTATCATCATCATCATCCGAGGGCTCATCATCAACACTCACCCATGAGCCTATCGCCGTATGTACCTTTTGGCTGAATAGAGAAAACATCAGACCTTAAATACATAGAAAACCGCTTTTTTTAGGGGTTCTGTAAAGAAAACATGGAAACTTACATGTATATTTTCATATTTTTAATATGCTTAAGTCAAATTCTTTATTAATCTTAAATTTTATTGGGTTGTTTTTGACCCCCATTTTGTCTATTAATAGAATAGAATACTACTATATCATTAAAATAATAGAATATATACTATACTCAGATTTTATTATTTATCATTTATTATTATAATTGCACAAAAATGCACGACTAAACCAATTTTAACAAATTTAAATTTTTTAAGACCTACTAAAACTTGCCCTTTTGCTTCGGTAGAAGTAGGATGATTATTATTTGTGTTAAAGGACATGTTACATGAAGTACACTCTCATTAAGAAACGCTAAAAAAAAAGTGTGTAGTGAGATATATATATATANATATATCTCACTACACACTTTTTTTTAAGCTTAAACTTTTGTCTATTGTGACCAACCTCTGCTGATGGTTTGCCTAGAAAATTTTATTTTTTTAATAAAGTGCAAAATTCTTTACGGGGATATGGCATCAAGGTCTTCATTGATAAAGCATGACTGTCCTAGGTTCCTTATCCTATTCCTAGCTATTGCCGAGCAATAGTTAATTCGATAGTATATTTTGTACATAGTATATATGTCTACAGACCTCACATAATTCATATTTAAACTCTTGTAATGTAATTTTTTTTATTCGGTTGCTTTCTATGAATCTTTAATCTTTTCTTTTAATTTTTAATTTACTCTTAATCTTTTCTTTTCTTTTATCACGGCGGAGGTTCTTCTTAATCATCAACCTTCAAACCATACCTCAATTTGTATTAGTGGTACTTTTTCTTCTTTCTTATCGGTGATAATACCCCATTTGTTTTAGCCAATACTGATTTGGCACCCTTTTTGCATGACCATGTCACGACTAGGTCCGTTGTTCAACAACTCTATGATTTCACTAATTTCTCTTTCAGCTTCATTTCTTCTCTTCTTTGTTTATTTTATTTGGAATCTTATAATAGACGACACACCAAATTTGAGGACACTTTTATACCGTTAATATGTTTCTAAAATAAAAAATTATCTTTGTTTTCTTGTGTACTTATAGGGATTTCGCCCGTTTGCTCTATATCTTTAGTTTATTGTATCCGACAAGCTGTGCTCATGATTTTCCTAGATTCTACTTCTTCTTATGTTATGGTATCGATGTCTACATTGATCACTAATGGCTTTCCTTGGTAATATTCATTTTTCCTAGCTACTGCAGGGCATTTGTATTTCTACCTCTGTTACCTCCATTATGATCATAAAAGAAAGATTACTGTATGTTTTGTTTTTTTAATTTAGAGCTTTTTTCTGCATTTTATAGGTTTTTTCAACAAAAATATTTATCCAAATAATGAATGCTTTTTATATTCAAAAGAGCACATTATTGTATTAAAAGAGTAGTAACAGTAACAGCCAATAACCTTATCCTCCTTGAAAGAAGAAAAGAGATAATTAAAAAGAAGTAAGGAACTAGAAAAAGTACGATAATCAACAAGGCTACAGGCATAGAGAATGCCAAACCCTCTCATCCTGGCAGCTTCACCATCCTATCCCATCCTTCACGTGACTTGCTGAGTGTGGGGTTTTAATGAACGAAGACAACCCATAATTTTATTGACACAAGTTAGGACATAATAGTAATAAAATTATTTAAGGAAAGACGCATATCATAACGTCTTAAAATAAAAATTTTCTATTTAATATATATTTTATTGCATTTCATTTAATGTAATAAGATGAAAATAAATTGTAATAAAAAAACTATATTTGTAAATTAAAAAACCTCGTCAATTTAAATAATTTATTCCACTCCAGAAGCATTTGAAAACTACATTAAAGACAAAAAGTTTCAATAAATTAGCGCCAGAATCATGTTTCATATTTTTTAAATGTTAGAAAATAATTATACTTTTAGATTGATCGGTTCCGATCAGTTTTATCTGACTCCCTCTGTTTTGCTGTCACTTGCCCATCATGATCGGCGCCATATTAAGCATTGGATTTTTGTGTCGGTGCTCACCCTTTTTTTAACCCTGACTAACAGATGAAAGCCGTGAATATCCAGTAAATGCCAATTTATGTTGGCACGAGAGTGTATTTATTTGCCACGTTCAGATTTAAATGAACCGCCATGCCCCTCCACACACTCAAACAGTGAAAGGAGTAGCGGCCAAGAAAGGGCTATTTTATTCAAGTCCCAGAACATATCCCTTTCTGGCTTGTGTGGGTAAAAGCTATTTTTTGGTAAAAAGAAAAATTTGGTGTGCACACTATTCAAGTGAGTTAATTTTTATTACTTTGACGTCAAATTAAAAAAATAATAATTGTAATTTAGTTTTAAAAGGGTATATATTTTTATAAAGAAAAATAAAAGAAATAATATTTCATTTTAAAAGTTGTGTTAATATTTTAATTGTATTTTCTAACTTGGTGGTCAAAATTTTAATAATAATAATAATTTCTTTACCTTTCTTTATGGAACTATAAAACGAGAATCAAATTCCATTTTAAAATTAAGGTTTGTAGATTTGAGATAGGTTTGTTATAGGATAAAAGGATTCTTTAAATTAAAAATAATAATTAATAAAATATATTGTCATTTTATGTAAAAATAAATTGTAATTAAAGATTCAAATTTAACAAACATTTGGTGTCGTATTTACTTTGGTTTAAATGAAATATAAAAGGTGCCTGATCGATAAATGAAATAATTGTAGTCAGGTCCGATCGTAAAAAACCTCTGGGACCTTGTTTTCGGTTTTCCGAATTCGGGGTTGGGCCCAACAAAAAGAAGAAGAGACACGCTATATCACATATTTATTTAGTGGGTTAATTTTTTGAATAGACCAATTTAGGTCACTTTGTTTCATAAAGAAGCACACATTTGTTGCAGTGATGTCCTAACTTTTGAATCATTTCAGGAAAAGAACTTTGCTTTAATTTTTGCTAGTAAAGCGGGTTTTATTTCATCGAAATGGTGCCTAGTTTTCCGTTCATTTTTTTTCTTGTTCTGTTGGTCAATTATGGACAAGCGAAAAGAAGCAAGCCGAAGGAAAAACCCATCTTTGTTCAATATTCGACTGGTGGTGCACTATATGCTTTGTTTCCACGTGAAAAAGAAACGATGGATCGGCGAGCGATTTGTTTCCGTAGGGTGGCATTTCAGGAGTACAAGTGAATCCCATTTGGAGAGAGTGTTCTTAATGATTGCATGATGTTACGTTGCTCAATCGATCCTGCTCGTCCATCACAATTTTCCCGCTGGCGAATGGTATTGTCTCTGAGAGGATAAATTATTTTTCTTAATTTTCGTAAAGTTATTTATACGTGTTTAACTTTAAATTCGGAAAAAAAATTCTTTGTTATTTAGTCGTTTACAATCGTCCTGTCGTGCATATTCTTGATGTTTTAGTCAGTCAGTAATGATGCGAAAAAAGTATTAATATTTTACTAAAATTACGATTTCACCATTCAGTTTTCCGGGCACTTTTACTCAATTGACACTTTTGTTGAAGTATCAAAAATTCTAAAGCCTTGCTCCAACAGCTATGCAACTTTATACCACCAAATCAATCATGTTGTGTTTTAATGCGACCGAGATGATACCTCGAAATAATGCTCGTGTGGTGGCCCAGAGAAAGAACGATGTTGTGTGAACTGTTGAGAGTACTCTGTTGTGTGTGGCATCTGTTGATAGCTTGCTCCATTAGTGATTATCAGTACACACTAACGTTGATAAGTCTGCTTTAAGCCCGTTGAGCTCCTGCTTAGTAGAGGGGTCCATGTTCTTTGATGTTGTTTGAATGGCGGAAGCAATATCGAAATAGCGGTGACGCCCGATAAAAACTTTAGCACTACACAGTCACCACACCTACGATTAGCAAATTCATTACATAAACCATAACCGGATAATGGAATCAAGTGTGCAAATGTATAAAAGTGTGTCTTCCATGAGGACAGCGATTCCGACTGACAGACAAACCTTTTGAGTGGTTGGAGAAAAGCCATATGATCCTAAATTCAATGTTCAAAACCATCCATTTCAACAACATGAAATAATTCGCATAAGCAGCGCAGAGTGCAACATCTAAAACGGAATTCCTCAAAAGTACTTTGATGTTCAAACATTTCGAGGTAGACATTTTTCTTCCCAGTCTTTACAACGATACCATTTATCTTTCCTCCTCTCCTTTGACTTCTTACTACACTTTGTTACCACTTTTCAGTTAGATCAATCCGGCCCACTGCTCTTATTGTGTAGGCTTATTAGGTCAGTTGTTTGTTTCGTTTCAATCCAATAACTAACCAAAAGTAGGCACTGTCGTATATTAGGAATAACAATAACCTTTTCCTCGTCTGAGTGCCAGAGCGACGAAGAGAACGGTAAATTGGCCAAGTAAAGTTCGATGAAGACACATATTAGCCCTGAACCTTTTGGCGGCATACCAAACTGCCAAAAACGTAAATTCATCAAGCATTGGATTAAAACTAAGTCGTCGGTTTAATGGGAATGTATTTCAAAATAGAAGCTTGCGAAAAATTCATTAAAATACCATCGCAGTTAACAACAGGACTGCTAAATCTAGTGCTAGGACGAGAATGGTTGGATTGCTGCCTGGAACTGCAGACTTGGGGGAATTATTTATAGACTCGGAGCATCAGAAATCAGCCTGTGCAGATATTGCCAGGGAGAGGAAGGGAAAAAACTTCCATTGGTGCGAAAATCTTGGATTTTTTGTAATTTTGGAAATTTGGATCTGGTAAACAGCTTTAAG